ACAGGATGAGCGGACAAATAATTAGATCATTTGAGATTTTATATATAGATAATTAATATTTGCATTTTAATTAGCATATTAAAATTGATTAAATAATGATGAATTTCAAAACTGCGGAACGATACATACACTGCTTTGCCTACACGAAAAAAAGGACAGGAAAGTTGATCTCATTTAATGTGATACATGCAGACGTTCTTGACCCCGTCATGGAAAAAACATTGTACGATTTGGTCATGAAGTGTATGACAAACCCGCCTATATAATTATTGAATAATAATAATAATAATAATAATAATAATAATAATAATAATAATAATAATAATAATAATAATAATAGCGATAATAACGACATAATCTAAGAGGATCACACCGATTTCTTTCTTAATTATCACTACGGTAATTGTACGAAATAAATGGCAGACTACGTAAACCAAAAAAAAAGTTGGCGTCATTACCAACCCGAAACCCAAACAAAAGGAGAAGATGGATGGAGGAAAAAAAAAATTAACCATTTTGTTTTGTATCATTCTCCAACATTTTATGTCCGACATCGGGAAAAATTACCGGGTAATCCAAAAATTTTAACTTCTTTGTCAATATTCTTTATAATTATAATTTGCCAACCACCGAATGCTGTGATGGTGTGATACCATCTGATGAACATCTTGGTCTTGATGATATGTCGTGTGGTATTACCGCAGAGAGCGTCGGCCATCTTCACCTACTACGCAACGTAAAAATTATGTGTATGCAATTTTTGCAAATATCTTGCACTTTGAAGATTATTCATAATTCTTACTCGAATGAAAACTTTACGCAAGCGTAGTGCATAATTACCAAGTTATCGTGCAAAATTATGAACTGCGCAAAATACTTGTGCAAGCCTTTTATAATTGCACAAAAGTTACAAGTAAAATGAAGGCGTTGTTGTGTACAAGCTTTTTATAATATTTTTGCGATATTGATAGCATAGTGGACACTGTTGCAGATCACAAAAAAATGATCAACATAACATATGTTATGGTGAAA